GCAGAGTGAGAGAGGGAGAGAGGGAGAGAGAGGGGAGCGGCAGAGGACCGAGGAGAGGAGGAGAGAGGAGGAGTGAGTGAGGGAGGGAGGGGAAGAGAGAGAGGGACGAGAGGGAGGGGGAGCGAGAGGGAGAGGGAGGGAGGTGGAGGGAGAGGGATAGGAGATGAGAGAGAGAGAGAGAGAGAGAAGTTCCAAGATGAGCACTGTAAGTGGCATTACATAGGAACAGATGAGAATGTTTTAAACATTGAGAGATACATAAATAGTAACAACAAAGTGTTTGCCTCAAGGCTGAGAAACGTTACGGTTTAGAAAGTGATCATACAGCTGGACTTACTAGTAGCACAGTGCCAGTAAATACGAGAAGTTTTGTTAATACATAAGCATGCCATGAGACAATATAGATGAGCGCATGAAAATGTTAGTAATTACTGAGCTATTCAAACAACGAAAAGTCAGGCGATGATTAAGACATTCAGACACAAAAAGCGCTAGTACATTCTACACATCGTTCGTCATTAAGTACGTAGGTAAGTAATGCAATTAATTTACACTTACTATCACAACAATATGGCTTCTCAACTTCCAACTCCTTTTCCGTCTTCCCTGCATCCTTCTCCTTCTTTTTCCTGGCAGGTGGCTTCAGCGTACAATAAAATATAAGAAGAATATTAAATGCTGTCCATTATACGAGTGATATCCACTAGATGAATAGCATCCAGTGTCTATCTATATGTGAAGCAGACTTCAATCCAGTTTATAGTGTAGTAAAAGAAGTACACCAGCACCAATATACAGTACAGAATCTATTATCCGAAATTCTGAAAACCGAAAAGCTCAGAAAATCTAAAGTTTTTTCGTGGAGGTTGTCTGCACACCAAAGCTCGAGTTTGGCCACACAAGGATCAGTGCAGAAATAATAATGTGTTTGTCATTACTCATACATATTGTACTGTACTGGTATAGCACTTGGCCTCTTGAAAACTTGGTTTTAGTACTGGCTAGTTGCGGGATATACGGTATGTATATCTGTACAGTACGACCATTCCGAAATCCGAAAAATTCCGAATTCCGAAACGTGTTAGTCTGGTCCCAAGGGTTTCGGATAATAGATTACGTACTGTAGCTACCAACCACAACCCAGACTATCACTAATACAGCTACCATAACGCAGAACACTACAAACACAGCTAACATAACCCAGACCTTTACCAGCAGAGCTACCACAACCCCGACCAACACCAGCAGAGCTACCACAACCCAGACCATTACCAACACAGCTACCACAACCCAGAACACTACAAACACAGCTACCACAACCCAGAACACTACAAACACAGCTACCATAACCCAGAACACTACAAACACAGCTAACATAACCCAAACCAACACCAACACAGCTATCACAACGACCACCACCAATACAGCTACCAGCACCCACACCATCCCTAATCCCACGCTCATCACCGCCACACTACCGCAGCCACCGCACGCCCGTCATCGCACACTACCGCACCCCCCGCGCGCCCGTCACCCCCCTCCCCGCCACCGCAGCCGCGTTCGTTCTCGCGTCGCTACCTTCTTCTTGCGAGAGCGGCGCGTCGAGTAGTCCTCGTATTCGTCCGAGTCGACGTCCTCGATCTCGCCGGCGTCCGGCGGGTCGCTCAGCTCGTCGTAGTCCTTGTACCACACGTCCTTGCTCGTCTCCTCGGCGACAGCAGCAGAGGGCGCCACGTCGTCGCTGCTGCTCAGCGCCGTGTTCTCCACCGTCGTGATCTGGTGCTCGTCTGCGGAGGGAACGGCGGCGGACGCACGACGGTGAACGCGCTGCGACGGCGAACGCGCGGCGACGGCGAACACACGACGATGGCAAACACGGCGACGGGGAACATGCGGTGACGGTGAACACACGACGACGGCGAACGCGCGGCGACGGCGAACGCGCGGCGACGGCGAACGCGCGGCGACAGCAAACACACAGCGACGGTCAACACGCGGTGACGGTGAACACACGGCGACGGCGAACGCGCGGCGACAGCAAACACACAGCGACGGTCAACACGCGGTGACGGTGAACACACGGCGACGGCGAACGCGCGGCGACAGCAAACACACAGCGACGGTCAACACGCGGTGACGGTGAACACACGGCGACGGCGAACGCGCGGCGACAGCAAACACACAGCGACGGTCAACACGCGGTGACG